TTTTCAATGAGATATACACATTGAACATATGAAGCAAAAATGGAAAAATACTCTGTTACACCTAACTGAAAAGTAGCAATTTTAGCAGTAGCAACTAAAATATACTATGTTTACTGTCTGGTATTAGTATTGAGTGCTTTAAATAATGAGTTATTTAACTTTGTAATAATCTCATGGCACAGGTTTCCAAAGAAAACAGTAGTTTTCCAAAGAGAAACAGCTGGTAAATGGAAAGAAAACCAGAATTAAACCAAGATATCTGAATGAAGAGATTACAGTCTTAAACAGTAATGTAGTTTAAGACTGCACTTATTACAAGATGAACCAATTTGTGTTAAGAATATTCATACATATACTTAGCTTCTATTTGTTTTTATGAAATTTAAGAGACATACATTTAAATTTTCCTCTCCATCCTTAAGAACATGAGCAAATGAGGAAGTGAGCTTTTACATTTCACATATGCCTTTTAGTGCTACTGAAACACTTGTTAAAGTTAACTTTTATAATTTGTAAATAAAATTCTCTTCAAAAATCCTGATTATACAATATTTATTAATCTTGTAATCTTTTTCTATTTTTCATTTTATGTGTATAAGTGCATTGCCCACATGTATGAAAGAGCACATGTGTCATGCAATGCCTGCAGAAGAGGAAGTTGGATCTCTTGGACTGGAGTTACAGATGGCTGTTAGCCTTAATGCGGGTCCTGGGAATTGAACCCAGGTCTTTTTCAAGAGCAGCCAGTACTCTTAACTGCTGAGCCATCTCTCCAATCCCTGGTCTTGTAATGTTAAGGTACTCTTCAATTAATTAAATCCAGAAACTTCAAAAAGTAATGTGACTTCTCTCACAAACCAAATCCCTATCAATACCTAACAACTGCTCATATTCCTCATCATAAATATAAGGGCAATATACCAAAAGCTTCCAAAAGACTCTAAAACTAAAACTAAAAGGGTATTTTCAGTTTTCTTACTACCCTTACAATTGTTTCTACTCAATTATTATTCTGGACAGGCACATTTAACAGCCCAAACTGTTTTACTTCTGCAATTTTTTATGAACGGTCATGACAAAATCACTATTTAAAGACAGGGTTGATAAAACAAAAGTTCCAGTATGTACTATATGGACTACTTGTTCATGTATCCATTTGGCAGCACTTCCTGCTCCTGCAGAGGATCTGAGTTCAGTTCCCAGCACCCATGTGGGGCAGCGCACACCTGCCTGCTACTCCACCTGGATCTAATGCCTCCCCAATCACACACACTTACATACCATACACAGGTGTATGTACACACACACAAATACATCTTTACAAAAACATTTAGCAAATGTGATAGTTAATCTTCACTGTCGACTGATAATTGGAATCACCTGGGACACACAACTCTGGGCATTTATGTACAAGATGTTTCCAGAGAGGTTGAACTAAGGAGTGAAGAGTCACCCCACTATCCCACAGACTGGAGTTCCAGACTGAATAAAAAGGAAAAAGAGAGCTGAGCACCATCACTCATCTCTCTCTGCTTTCTCACTCCAGACATCATGTGACCAGCTACCTCACACTCTTGCTGCCTTGCCTTCCCCACCAAGATGGGCTAAACCCTCAAAAATAATCCAAAAAAAACCTTTCCTTCTTTAAGCTTTTTTGTCAGGTATTTAGTCACAGCAATGAGAGAAGTGACACAACACATACTTATGAGTACCCACGATGGGTAACACACTATGCCTGGTTAATCAGGAACAAACCAGAACAAGAGAGAAAAGACCTTTGTCCTCCTGAAACTTACATTCTGTTGTTAGAGGAAGTCAAGAAAAATTTCAAAGTATCCACATATTAAACTGGCACAAATTAACATATTAGAAACTACTAATGTCTTTAAGTTGGGGTTAGATGTGTGGCTTTGTTTTGGATTTTTTTCTCCCCACAAAAACTTTATTCTATCATTGAATGGTACAGCTCAATTTTTTTCAGCATATATTTCTTCTTTTAACATTTTTTTATTTATTATTTTTATTTTATGTGTATGTTTACCTGCATGAAGGTAAGTGCACCCATGTCGTGCAATGCCCAAGGAGGTCAGGAGAGGTTGTCGGATCCCCTGGGACTGGAGTTACAGACAACTGTTAGCTGCCATGTGGGTGCTGGGATTCGAACCCAGGTCTTCTGCAAGAACAATCAGTGTTCTTAATCACCGAGCCATCTCTCCAGCCCCCTCAATATATATTTCTTATTGAATTTGTGTGCATATCATACATCTCAATCATATTTAGACCCCTCTCCTATATGTACCTTCCCATAGCCCCCTCACCAGATTTCATGCATTCTGTCGTAGTTAAGGCCTATCAAGTCATGTTTGTGCCTTGGTGTGAGTTTATCCACTGGAGCCTGGTCAGCCTATTTAGCATCACATCATTAAAGAAGACTGACTCTCCCTCAAGCAGCAGTGATCAATTGCCAAGAGTTCCTTTACCAGCTGAGCCATCCTGTTTCCCCCCAAGCCCCTGGCAGTTACATTTTTAAATAGTATTTACATGTTTTCTTTAGAACACAAAACCAGGCCAGGCATGATGGTACATGGGTGACAGAATCACAAATTTGAGTGAAGCCTGGGTGACACAAGGAGACCCTGTCTCAAAAACAAAACAAAACAAAAACCTGAAATCCCCAAACCAAGGGCTGGAGTTGTAGATCAGTGGTAGAGCTCACACAAGACCCTGGGTTTAACAACACTTGGTGGTGGTGGTATGTGTGTTTGGGAAAGGGGGGAGGGAGCAATCACAATAGTGTTTTAGTGCAGTTTTCAGATATTCATAGCAAAACTAAGATGATCATGGAGCTATCCCATGCACCCCTTCGTCCAATACAGCCTCCTCTATTATCAACAACATCCACTAGGGTGTGCATTTGATACATGGTGAACCTACATGATATGGAAACATTTCTCTTTAAAGAAAACAGTGAGATTTCATTAAAAAGAATGACGTGATTCTAGGGTGTCACCAAAATGATTGCTTCAGGCAAGAGGAAGAAGACAGGCTGTGCAAAACCTAAGTTTTGGAATGAGAGCTTACTCTGCGCCATCAGTGTGCTGAGAGCACTTTCAATGCATTGCCTATAAAGTTTCCAACAATTCCATTAGGGTATTACCTTCCCTCTCTGAGAGGGAAGAAGAATCTGAGAGTGATCTCAGATTGGTGAGATCACTCAGCTAGTAAGCTGACAAATTAGTGTCTGAATCCAGGCATCCTGAAACTGCACCCAGGCTTTCACCCCTCAGCACCAGGCAGAACCTGAAAGGCAATGGCCTCTGAGGATGCAGCAGGATGTTGCAGACAGTGTGAAGGGAGGTTTACAAATTCCCCAAAGTAAAAGCTGCATCATTATGTGTAAAGTCCAGTGTTGGGAAGATTACTTAATTGCACTGCACTGGCTGACCAGCAGCAACTGCAGCCGGTGTGATGTATTAAGCATCAGTATCAGGGACCACATAACTCAAAATTCTACAAAAACGGAGATTACAACCCAGTCTCCTTACACCCCCCCTCCCAAGGGCATTACCTTTCCATTAAACCAAGTTGTCCAAAAATTATAAATAAAAAACTGGTGACAACATATCACAACCAAATACATATGCATAGTAAATGTTTTTTAAGCTGTTTTAGTGAAGAAAAACTGACCCCAGACACTCCACTCAGTCTGAGCTAAGAAGAGCAAACCACTGCCAGGAAATACCCAGCCTCCTCCTAGGAAAACAGAGCAGCCCAGTTACAATTGTTTCAGAAGAAAAGGGAATTCTGGTCACTCTTCGGTATCTCAGATCTTTCCTTTATTAAACTAATTACTGTTGACCATGTGAGAGCCACAAATGCAATTAAGATGGCCAAACAGCTGTCCTTAAAATAGGGAGATTATCCTGGTTTATCTGGGTGGACTCAATATAATCCCTACAAACCTCAAACTGAAGCATAAGCAGGGTCATCCTGAGGTAGATACACAAGGAGTCTACCACTGTGAGCTTTGAAGATGGCAGAAGGGGGCCCTTGAGCTAAAGGACACTATGGTCCCCACAAGAGGAAACAAACAAGGAAACTTTCTCCCCAGGACCTAAATCAAGAATTGAAAGTTCAATATATCCATTTTTTAGACAGTGAGACTCCATGCTAAATTTCAGTGCCCTGTAAACAAAATTTGTGCTAAGTTACTAAACGTGTGGCAATTTGCCATGGCAAAAATCACAAATGCACCGGGCTCCTTCCATCCTGAAGCAAAGAAATTTTTTTACAGTAGTTACTAAAACGACCAGAGAAATATCTGTATGTGACCTTCCATACTATTTCCTAAAGAGAGGAAAATATACTATTTCCTAAAGAGAGGAAAACAAATTCATAGTTTTATATAACCTAATTTCATGCATGTTGACTCTAACAGTAATTTAAGACTCTCAGTCCTATTTAATCATTTTATCCTATTTTACAAAAGTTCTGGTTAACATAGATGGAAATTCAGAAAAGGGGTCATTTTCAGAAAAGGACAGTGAAGCACTGACAGATCCCAGTTCACAAAAGCTGTATCTGTCATTCAGCAATCATTTCAACTAACACGTTTAAGAGCGTCGGGCATCAGAGCTCCACGATGCACCGCTAGGATGCAGAGGAGTCCGGCCTGTGCTGAATTCACTTTCCCGTGAGTCCCTCGTGTGGCCCCAAGGCTGCCTCAGTAGCGCTAGCAAACTTAAAGTGTAAAACTGTCAAATACAAAGCACAGAAAAAAAATCGCCAATCACACGCTCCGCTGTAGGAGGCCTGCAAAGACCCTCACCGGCCGGCGGATCGCCAGCCCAGGATCAGCCTGCAAGCCCGGCCCCGCCCCGGGTCTCTACGCAGCGGCCCCGCCCTCACACCGAAACCTTCCCTATAGGCTGTGTCCCCGCCCACACTCTGGCCACGCCCCCAATGCGGCGTCGTGGGCGTGGTGCCGTGAATTCCCTCACCTGTCCAAGCTCCGCCTTCCGCTGCAGATCCAAGTGCCGCTCCAGCGCGCTCGCGAAGCCGCCTGGGCGCGCCTGAGGTGCTAAGGAGTCGGGGCTCGAGCTCTCGGACCCACTCTCGGTGCTTACAACCCGAAAGGGCCTGGAGAAGAGAAGCAGTCGCAAGAGACCGCTCTCAGCAGACACGGCACGGGGCCCACACAGCGCCGCCATATTGCCTGTGCGAGCTCTGACCTCTTCCGCACGCGCGCGGGTCAGGGGGCGGAGCAAGGATAGCCCCGCCCATTGCTGCTAGGTCCGGGTTGTGTGGGCGGTCGCTGCTGGGCGGTAGATACCCCGCACGGCCTCTCCTGGTGATCCCTAGGCTATTCTCCCACCTTCAGGTCTCCTAGATAGTCCTGCTGGAAGCTTCCACGCTTGCCAGCGCCTCCTAGTCTCTATTATTCAGCATTTTCTAATATGCCATATATGGGACTTGAAAAACTTTAGTGTCTGCCCTCCAATTTTGTAAACTCCTGGAAGAGACTTGCTGTTGGAGTCCTTGCAATGGGTCCAAGAGACATTTGTGACAACCTGGTCGCAGTTTATCCTTTGCCACTTCTGTCGCTAGTCCACACGCATTATGAAAAGTCTGTTTTATCTTGGATAGATGCCATCCCCTCCCAGGAATTAAGCAAGTTCAGAATGTGCCTATGTATGGCACCCCCAGAATCCACACAGATACACACTTGACTTTTTTTTCCCCAACATGGAGTCCCAGAATTTGGCCAAACCTAGTGTTTGTTTTACCAAATAAGAGGTTCACCCATCTATCAGTTTTTCATGTCATGAAAATACTTGAGAAGAAATTTTTTTTTTTTTTAATTTAAGGTCTCATGTAGCCCAGGCTGGTCTTTATGCAGGTGAGGCTGACCTAAAACACCTGACCCTCCTGCAAGGCCCTCTCTGAGTAGTGGGGTTTTGTAAGCATGATCACTATGAAGACGAGGACAGACCCTTTAATGTCTTTGTTGATTTACATCTTTCTCAATCTATGACATTGGCTGTACAGAATACTAGGAAGTGCACTGGCCTTGGAATGCTGCATGATTTCATGAATCATTTGTAAAAGTCATTGGCTATTGTGGGGTAAATCCTGCAGATTCAAAAGGGGTCTTAACAGTACATTCTACTCCAGGTGAATCCTTCTGGGCACTTAAACTCATTTCCCTTGACAGTTAAATGGGCTCACGTCTAAACAGTCATAATATTATATATGGCTGTTGGTACTTTCCGTTCCTTTGAAAATATGGCAGAGCACAGTGTGATGGCTAATCTTAGTTGTCAAATCAACTGAAACACAAGCTGCTGGGCACTCCTGTGGAGGACTTCCTTGAGCAGATTTGAATTGGGACTACCTACCCTAAATGTGGGTGGCACCTTTTGGTGGCACCCAGCTAATGTACATAGAAGGAAACTATGTTTACCTGCTTGCCTTCACTCCTGGCAAATTCATCTATCTGGTTGCTGCAGCATTCCTTTGCTGATATTAGAATCAGCTTCCTCAGGCTTCCAACATAGACTGAAGACCAGCAGCTCTCCAGAAATCCTCCAGGCCCTCAGTGCAAGATTGGGACTGCTGAGACATCAGGCCTTGTCTGAGCAACTACTGGTCTCTCCAGTCAAGACATTCGTTGGACTACCAAGACCATATTCTATAAACTAACCTAATCTTTTAATGTGTGTGTGTGTGTACACAAATATAAAGTGTATATGCATTTTTTCATTCAGCTCTGTTCCTTTAAGAGAATTTAAGACACATGGCCAGTGACCTTTAAGAACCTTCAGTAGTCCTAACTGAACCTGGTCTTTTTCTTAAACAACCCAGTATCAATATCATGTTGCTGATTTGGTTTCTCTACTCCTGAAACCAAGCTGTTAACCAGTGCCAAGTTTAAGGAATACTTTTAAATGTAAATGACAACAGTATGAGTGCTTGCCTAGTATGCGATGCCTGAGGCGCTGTCATAAAAATTACAACTGTGTGAGTGGAACACATGAGGTTACTAAGGTCCTGCCTCAGCCAGATAAACCTGAAGGACAGTGACAAGAGCAATTTGGGGGACAGTTCCTGTAGCTTCTTGGTGTTCATGTTCACAGATGTATTCTAAGGATAAGTAGGATACATCTTGAAGTTTTCATTTGTATTTGAGGAAGTATGTTATGACAGAGATTAAAGAAGGGAGGAGCCAGGGATTTGGAGCTGGAGGCCAGCCTGAGCTAAGTAATGAGCTCCTGACTTAAAGTCATCCAGGTATAGTGGTACATGCATGTGATCCCAGCACCTGAGAGACAGAGGCAGGATGATTAAAGGTCATCCTTGACTTTATACAGGTGAAATTGAAGCCAACCTGGGCTGTATGAGGCCATGCCTCAAAAAAAAAAAACAAGTGAGTCAGTGTGTCTGCAGGCTTTTCTGTCTACGCAAGCACCAACAGGAGCATCCACTGGAGTGGCAGCATTTGTGCTCTGCCTTCTTTATTAAAAATACAGGTTTCTGTTGCAGCATTCAGGGGGCAAAGGCAGAGGGATCTATGTGAGTTCAAGGCCAGCCTGGTCCACATATCAAATCCACGTTATCCAGGGCTACACAGTGAGACTGTCTCAAACAAAAACAAAACAAAAATACAGGTTTTTTAGTTTTCAAGTTCCTAATGCACACTGTGAAAATATTAATGGCAGACAGCAAGGAAAGTGAACAGAAGAGCTCAAAGTCCTGATCACATCTACTGGTTATGGTCTCATCTATCAAATGAGAACAATGATACAGTCCCCAAGGGGGGAGGGGAGAATACCATTATGAAAAAGAGACACTGAAAATTCCATATAAAGTGGCTATTAGTGGTAGACGACATGACCTAGAGGTAATTAGAAATTTATGCCTCTTGTATTGAGCACTTGCCTAAAATGTATGAGGCCCTGGGTTCAATCCTCAGCACCACAAAAAAAGGGGAAAATATACCTCTTAGTCAGCCATGAAAATTATATTGTCACCTTGTCATGGTTGTCAACTTGACAAACCTGGGAAGAGGGAACCTCAGTTGGGGAATTTCCTCTATCACACTGGCCTGTAGGCATGTCTGTGTGGCATTTGGATTATTGAGTGATATAAGAAGGCCCAATTCACTGTGAGTGGTGTCATTCCTGGGCCGGTGGTCTTGTGTTGTATAAGAAAGGAGGTTGAGCACAGGTCAGATGAGCAAGCCAGCAAACAGCATTCCTCTGTGGTCTGTGCTTCAGCTCCTGGCTCTAGGTTCCTGCCCTGAATTTCTGCCTGGCTGCCCTCAAAGATGGACTATGCCTTGGAAGTGTAAGCTGAAATAAACTCTTTTCTCCCCAAGTTGGTTTTGGTCAGAGTGTTTTATCACAGCAGTAGAAAGCTAACTAGAATATACCCCAAAGACAGTTGTTTCAGCCATGGAAACAGATTCAGTCATCACAGAGGCCATACAGGTGACAGAGGACAGTATTTGGGGAGTTGGGAAACTACTGGAAACTAGTCATGTTGGAAAAGGGGACTAGAGATCCTAGAAACAGGAAAACTTGAAGAACCTTTTACTGTACATGTTCATATGTGTGAAGGTGTATGTGGCTGCACATTCACATGTATGTGCATGCATATGGAGGCCTAGATATCAATGTCAGCTGCCTTCTATCTATTTGGACTCAGGTCCTCATGCTTGTACAGCAAGCACTTTACCAGTTCCCCAACCCTGAAATGGAGAATCTAAAATCATAACCACCTACAAATATGCCAATATGGTGATTCAATAGAGACACTATGGCTTTTGTTTTGTTTTATATACCAATATATGAAGACTTTGAGATAAGTTGCATAGCAGACTCACCCCTTTCCTGAAAGAGAAGAAAAACATAAAGAACCCGTACCCAAATTATAGTTTTTATTGCTTTCAAACACTATACAGAAAATGTGTGTATCCTGATTAACAGATCCAGGAATAATTAAACTTGTTGTTATCCTTATTCAGTAACTACTTTGAGTGTTAAGATCATAATTCAGGTAATGAGTTTTCTCTCCTGTTCATTACTCTGGCCTCTAAACCATATTTACTCTTGCTGTATTTCCAGACTTGTTAGGGATATTGCTTTAAGGTTTCTCAAGAGATCCTTTCTTCCATTACACTTAAGTCCTTGAATATCCTGAGATTTCACTTTTACTTTTTTTTTAAGTCTAAAACACAAAGCAAGGTGGAATAGCTGAACTTTGGGGTATTTCTAATTACTATGTTTCAAATTGGACCTCTCTGGGGCATTTCTACTAATTACTATGTTTCAAATTTCATCAGTATCTGAATTCATAAGGAATCTGCCACAAAGACCATTTTGAATACTTCTAAATCCATATTTATTTTTCAGAATTAGTCCCTATTTTATGACTTCTTTTTATGAGGCAGGATACTTTATATTATATACATACATCCCACTTCCCACCACCACAGCTATCATTTTCCCATATGGGCATCAAAAAGATTTGAAGATACTTTATGGAAAATAAGTTGCCATCTTACACTATTTTCTATTTGTTACAAGAATATGGCAGGGCACCCAAGAAACAATCTGTTGTAGAGATACCTGAACACCAACACCAACAAAAGACTAGCTAGTAAAAATAAAATAAAGGTAACAGTTAACCACAATGTTTCTATAAAGAGAAAAATTTATATAGATCAAGTCCTCTGTGAAAAATGCATCCAGAACCTTAGCCTTAAAGCTAGAAGATAGTGATTCATAATATGTTAGTCTGATACCACTGAGCAGTGACTTAAAGTTGATAGTAAAAAAAAAAACTGAAGCAAAGACACCAGTTGATTCTAGAATACAACAAGCTGTTTCCAGACCATTGACCTTGGAATAAATATTAAGACCTATATTATTGATATATGGAATTTATTAAGATTTTTACATGTAATAATAGAACATAGTTTCCATTGCATCCAAGTAGCAATCAAGAATGGCAGCATATCATTTTATAACAATCGACACTTGTGGCTTTTCAGATTCGGTTTGCAGAAAATTTATCCTCAAGTAAATCTAGTCATGCTTTTAAAGAATGCTTTATGTCACTCCAAGCTTGGCAATTAACATTTGGCATGGACAATAATAAAACAACTACAACTTGATAAATAACAGATACAACCCCATAGGCCATAAACATATATAGCATAAGGAAATGGTGGCAGTAGTCAGTAGTTATCACAGTTAATAGAGGAGCTTAGCCACTGCAGAGCCATCTGGAGGATGATTTGATTAAGGAGCTCCAACACTTTGTTCTCAAAGAATGTTTACGGGGAAATGTTTACAGTGCCACTTAACTGCTCATACACAGAAAACAATCAGTTGCAACATGATGAGTTCATTTCTATTAATGTACTACAGTCTTAGGAGTTATCACCAACACCTTAGTATAAAAAAAAGTTCGAGTTACATTTTTCATAAAACTTTCTGTACTTCCTAAAGGGTGCTAAATGGATTTAATGGAAACAGCTGTGTTTCCCCTAAGGCGATAGATTAGCATTTTTACAGCTATCTGAACCTAAAGATCTTTCAGACTTTTGAAATTAACAGTGATGAGTGTGCTCCTATTTCAACTTACAGTAATACACTTGGCTCACAATGTTATTTCGTCATTTTACTTTGAAATTAAAATTTTAATTGGTTAAAAAATTGATTTAAGTGGCATAATAACCAATATGTTGAAATGGTTGCTGCCACAAATGACAATTACCAAGGATGTGGAAAGGGATCCCACTCTCAAGTCACCTAGTAGTTTGAATTTCTGTGTGTGTTGTCACAGAGCTGTAGCAAACTGGAAGTAGAGCTGTTCCTCAAACAAAAACTGTGTTTACTCAAGGAAAAAGATGTTGCTGATAGTTCCTCCTTAAAAGGTAGAAGCAACACCAAAACTTTTAATAATCAAAATTCAGACAATTTAAAAGAAGAATTTCAGTTAGAAATCAAATATACAGAGATTCCAAAAGGAAAAAAAGAAAATCTTACAGAAGACAAAGAGCAAATTGGCATCCCAGATGCAGAGCAATTTTTGTCAAGTCCATAAGCAGCAGTCACCTGCAACAACTCCTCATTCTAGTGAACACCCCATGAATTACAGGGATCTCTCTGTGGTGCTGTTTCCTAAACAAAGGGTGTTTCCATGGCATAGATGAGAAGGTGGTTTTACTTTGTTTAACTCACAAACTATTTGGTCAAAGAAATATGTAAAGCTAAATAAAAGCACATCTGGTAGAGCTCTGTGGCTGTGAATGTTGACAAGATGTGCTTGGATCTCACTTGCAGCATCTGGCAGTGGGTTGCAGAACAAAGGTAGGAACCTCATGGGCTCTCCTGCACGGGTCCTGGAGGCGGCTCTGTGGTCGTGGCACCCGTAGCATTTGCAGTGGAATTCAAGACTTCTCCAAAATCACCGCCAGCAGGCTTGGTTCCCCCTACTTTAGACTTAAAAATATGAAATGAAATTAGCTGCCTCTGCATTAAGGAACTCTAAAGTTATTTTCGAGACCAAATCAGGAACCTCATAGCTCAGCGATTTTATATATATATATATATATATATATATACATATATAATGGAATTTAAGTACTGATGTAATATACAAAGAGGCTGAATAGTAAAACATATGTATTCTTTCTTGCTGGACTGTCCAGACTAGTAAATTCTATCCTCCTTCCACCCTATCTGCTAACTGCCCTTCACAGGGAAATTTACTTAAAAGAACTCCATAGTCTACATTGCAAACTATCTACTGATCACTGTGGATGCTTGGGTAAACATTTTGTATTGTATCAAATTGTTCATTCATCCACAAATATTATTGAGTAAGACACATGAAACAAACATATTTTCTAAGTGCATGCTATAACATATGCTCAAAAATACCAACTAAAAGAATGCATAACCCCTGAAATATCCATTAGTGACATACAGAATAATAATGATCTTAAAGTTTTTTGTTACTATTATTTTGGTTTTGTGAGACAGGGTTGCCCTGCAGCCCCAGGTGGCCTGGAACTCACTACATAGACCAGGCTGGCCTCAATCTTCAGAGATTCGTCTGCCTCTTCCTCCTGAGTGCTGGGATTGAAGGCATGTACCACCACGCCCAGCTGAAGATTTCAAATGTTGATACTCATGTGAACCACCCATACCAAAGAAAGTTGAGGCCCCACTGTGTCATCATCCCTTTACTTGCCTTTAAGGTTTCAACCTTTTCTTCAAATGATTTGAAAGTTGGAGAGTTTCTATGAAGACAGAAAAAATATAAAAATTAAATGACTGCATTTTTCTTCACCATTATTCATAATCAGCAAAAGAACAGCTATTTACCTATATGATATGTACAGAAAATAAACCATTATTATGTATGGTTATGGGTTCGAGCTAATATTTCTACAATTTTGCTTTCTAGTCATGAAATATGCACTCTAAGGTATGTGTAACATAGTCAAACACATGTGCGGAAAAGGAAGAAGCAGGTAACACTTCAGTTCTGTCACTTCCCCAACCAACTTGTCAGCATACAAGAAAATGCCACTATGAGATCAGTTTAATTAAGGTACCATACTTTAGAACTTCTGTTTACAGTCTCATCTTGTAGGGCAGGATTCCTATATAAACACACATCACCTCACTTGGACAATCAGACCATATGAGGTTCCAACACAGGGACCACAATTCCCAGAGAGCAGCATCAGAGACAAGGAAAGGAAGGACCAAAAACAAGCAGGGAGCTCAGACACTTGCCTTTCATCTACATTGGGCTTTCCCTTCTCATTCATGGGTTTACAAAACTTTTATCCTAGCCACAGGACCTTAAACATCTACCCTATTACCAAGACTAAAAAGGCACAGAGGGGAACAGGAGCTTCCTCATTCCCCTGTGGTTATGGCTAATAGGATAGGGCAATGGTGGTCAACATGTGCCCTCCCCAGCCCCCTAGGCCAGCTGCATCAGCAGTTCTGGGGCATGTTAGGAACAGGAATTATCAAGTCCCATCCCACCTCTAGATTCAAAAACTAGGGCTGGGCCCAGCATGAAGTGTTTAACTAGCCTTCCAAGTGACTCCAACATAGGCTTAATTCTAAGCCAAGCATAAATACTGTTAAGGAGCCTTTGCCTCACTAGAGAGCATAAAACAGCTAATAAGTGTCTGCTGATGCACACAGGCTCCAAAGGACACTCTAGGACGAGAGAAGCAGAGTGGGAAGGGTGAAAGAAGAGGGGTGTAACCAAAGCTAATGCAGAGAGGGTACATAACCCCTGAACCACAAGAGAAGGTCCATTTGAATGTGGTATGTGCTTTCATATAAACGTTTCCTAAAACGAAATCAAAATAGTAGTTCTTTACAAACAAATTTACCTTTTGGATCTCATGTACCTATGCCAACATTACAAGAAAAGTAACTGAAAACTGGTTAACAGCATTAAACACACAGCTTGTTCAAGGCTAAATTCTTGCTCGCCACTTAACTATTTGGGTTAAACACCTAAATAAAGAACAAGCAGCATCTTGCAAAAATATACTTTACCTCATAGCAGGCATGCTAATTGAATGTTGAATGGAGCGTATACTAAGAGGCAGCATTAAAAAGAGACAGAAACGAAATTGTTATATAGTGATCAGACATAAAAAGCTGACAAAACTTAGCTTTCCAATAGCTTATTCTTTTGGCGCAATAAAAAATTATCCACTTTTTGAGGTGTAGGGGGTCAAAGTTAAGCCAATTTAAATTGAATCATTTAATGATACAAGCTTGTCCTTTCTTAGCACTTTGAAAGCTGTAAAGTGCTTTCACCTGGATCTGCAAGGCATTAAGAATCAGGACTCAGAAGTTAGATGGTTACCCAAGGGAACAGCAGAACACTGAGACAGGAACTTGGGTCCTTGCGAGTTCTGATTCAGTGTTCACCACCTCCCCTCAAAAACAAAGCGCAAACACACACACACACACACACACACACACACACACAAACCACAGAGCTACACACAGAGACACACATGCACACACACACAAACACACACAGAGCTACAAACACACACACACACACACACACA